TCATCGAATCGAACATGAACATGATGAAAATCGTCAATCACTCTATGTATCTGTCTATCTATCGAACAATCTATGAGAAAGGCAAAAGTATTACGACCGTAAGTGTTAGATAACAACAAGCGACGGCTGTATCGCGCGTTAGGGCAGGGATATCAGCTTCTTAACGCTAAATCAATGCTCTTCTCGTCAACCCTCTTTTTCCATTAAGGCTTTGCCATGATCCAATCTACTCGACGCTGGCTACCGAACGACAAGGACGATTAAAGGACCCAGCAAACGAGCACTTATCGCATCGTCGACTAAATGAAATGTAGCAGTTTGGGGAATCGATCGATTTCTCGAAAGCGTCTGACACCCGATTTACAATTTTACGATAGACGGAGGGAAAATTATTTTGTAAAATACCCTTTTTGGAAAGGACAGAAGTAAGAAAATTCTTCGAGGAATAATTTTATATTCTTTTAACAAGCGTCAGTTTTGAACGCTAAATTTTTGTTGATGCGAGTGACGCAATAAATTATTATAACGCGATATCTCGACAGCCATGGAAGCACAGTATGTTAGCGAACACGATGGAGACACGCAAGAAGAAACATCGGAGCGCGTCGTTTTGTTCGGCAACGGTAACATTGTTGAAACATGAGAAGATATTGTCCACTTGACAACGGAGCCATGGCTTGGAAGAGAATCACTCCGGGTGCACGTGATGCCCAACCGATACACGCCGCCCTCTCTACCTTTTCGTTCTGCTTCTAGAAGATCGTCGATGCCTCGTGCCCGTTCGACAAGTTCTTGATACGTAGGCGAAGTGTCGTTTCGAGAATGCACTATTAAACTAAAATACCGGTCTGAATCGTTCATCGAACAAAAGAATTTCGAGCAATTTCGTCGAGCAATCTGGACGAGGCGGGGGGAAACGAGAATCGTAGACAAAAGACAAATGGAGCGAGAAGTCGAATAGAGTCGAAAAATAGTTAGGCGATTGTTTCGCGAGTTCAGTCGCTGCTCATCGCGCATGGTTGAATCTCTTCCTTTTCTTTTTTCTTGCACGTTGAAATTCCAACTCGAATCTAAAACGATCGAAACGTTTCGTAACGTTCGCCAGGTAGGCAGCCGAAGAAGGAGAAGAGGAAGAAGACGACGAAGAAACAAAGCAAATGAAGAAAAAGAAGGTGAACGGAGAATGGGTAGAGGGGGGGCTTTCGAGAAGTAGGAGGAGGAGGTGATGGTGGTGGAGGATTGAAATGGACGAAGGGAGGTTCGAGAAAAGGCAGTCCTCGGGGCTCCTTGTCCCCGACGTTTAATTTCAGGCAGTCGAAGGAGCTCGTAACATCTCCGCCGTGTTTAATATCGAGAAGAGGGCCTTGGGAAGAAGATGCCCGCGATCAACTCAGAACCAGTTCTCGCGCCTTAAACGGACGGTTCTCACGCATTTATGGCCCTTCATCACGCTTTCCATTCGACCTAATTGCCGCAATCGAGCTCCGTGAGAACCACTGTCTCTCGTGCACCGTTTTGCAGGAAATTGGAATACCTGTATCGCGTAATCGCGCCAAAATCGAACCGCTGTTCCAACGATTCGAAACAGTTTCGTTCGAAAGACGATAACGAGACACGACAAACGACTGGTTATTTAATAAGAACGAAGAAAGGGAAACAATCATCAAGTTGTAGAGATTGCGGTAACTACTATCAACGATAACGCGAAACAAAAGAAACTAGAATTGAATAGTGTTTATCGCGTAACAATGGTTGAGAATTACTGCTCGAGATACGATCGTTTCGTGATCAATAATACGGCCGTACAACCGGTATAAAAGAAGGCGACTCAGTTAACTTGAACGTTAATGAGTCATTCGAGAGCTGTGTTTGACACGTATCTGATACTTAATTACACCGTTCTACCGAATAGCGTTAACTTTTAGCAAATTTACCGGGCGTGTAACAAATTACTCGAGTACGATGAGTCCGACTTTTCCTGGTCACCGTTTTCTTTTCTTCTGATTACATATTTCGCTACGCAGTCCTCGCTACGCCTCTGCTCGTCAGCTATGAACGCGACTCTCGAAACGTAAGACTGGAAACCGAGGTTTACGCTAGCGGAACAAAGAAAGTCAATGCCGTGACGTTTCCACGAGCTTTTTTACGGTTTACTCTAAATCCCGTTAAGCGAGATTTCGCCTCGATCGCGCTGAATTATTAAAAAGGAGCGACAAACCGTATCGAAACCGGGTCGATAACCGGCGCTCTATACGTCCAATCGAACAAAGACCGAACTCGCTGCGAGCAACAATCGCAAGAATTCGACGCGAGCCAGCTTCCCGTTCCACGTAAAACCATAATCTCCGAACCGACTCTCGTTCGTCGTAAAGTGACGAGAAAATCGTGACTATTCATGCTTGACCGCTCCGGAATATGAAATTTTATTTCATCGTCTGCGCTGCGTTTCTCTGATCGCGATCGTTCCCAGTTAAAGAAGAATGTACGTACCCAATTACCACGGACGAAGGAAATACTACCGTTTAATCGGACCATCGTTTAATGCGTAATCAGAATGGTATTTAACCCGTGCCCGTATACCGAGTCACACACTCATAACTGATTATAGTTAAATCAGCAACAAGTAAAAATTATATTCTAACCGAATATCTGTTTTCATTTGAAACTTTATTTCACTTCATGAAAGAATAAATCGAGCAACGTAATATAATATACGATAGTCATAGCCATTGTGTGTTAAATATAAATAGTCAAGTTTAACGAATATAGCCATAAGACAAATAAGAAGGCAGAGAATTCACATTGTATCATAATTTGATAGCTTTATCGTTATTTCGGGTTTTCTCCTCGTCGTACGATTCCGTAGTCGAGGAGTACCCCAGCTCGCCGACACGAAAGTCGTCGCCGAGGAAAAAGAAGGTATACGCCAGGGGATAGAGAGGATACCACTCGAATAGGAACCGGAACTCGCGGTCCGTGCTCAGAATTGACTACACGATTGCACATGTACAGCCGTGCATATGAATCAGATAAAAGAGAGCCAGAGGAGTTCGTAGGAGCGCAACGGGCGGAGAGAGTTTATCGGCTCCGTCATTGATTTCTTTGTCGCGCAAAGATAAATCTCCGTATCATATCAAGGGGAGAGAACACACGCGCGATCACACGAGCACGCACCCATCGGTCATTGAAGGCGGATACTTTCAAAACCGTAGAGACCGAATCGAAAATCGCCTAACAAGTCGAGACCCAACGATTGATAACAGAGACTTTCCATTTAGCGACCATCGCGATGTTGCACCGTCCACTTTACAGTCTATCGCATTCGTATAAACACTACCGGCCTTTTAACTTACTATGCCGTTATCTAGAGCGAATCTCCTGCTCCGCGAATAATTCGACGTATGTACCGGTGAAAAAGGAAATGGACGCACTGGTTCTTATTAACACTGTATAAGGTGGGATCACGAAAGGGGGGCGGGGAACGTTTAGATATTTCGAGACACAGCATATATCACGATCTTACTGATGTGAACTTAATTCAATGATGTTTAGCTGGCTCGAGGAAGAATGTTCTATCTTTTCGTTCAACGACAGGTCTGTAACTCCCTTTTCGTTGACCTACCTAACCTTGAATCGAGCATCTTCCTGTCGTAGATTGTACATATGTATTAAGAATGCTAAAGAACAATACAAATATTAACTATAATATATAATAAAATAACAGACGAGTTTGAGCCTATGACGCAGTGTCGCGTTCTGTAAAATCTTTTGTTTTGACACGATACATGTTTCGTACGAGTTTACGAGAGAAATGTGTACGATATCGTAATGTCGTCGAACGAACAAGAGCAAGCCACGGCAAGAAAGTTGAGGGGATGCATAACATAGTAACATGAATATCTATTTCAGTTAATATCCATCTTTGGCATTTAATATTAGTCGGACATGTCGGTTTGTATTTGTTCTATCGGTCTGCAATAACTAAACGAATTCGGAAATTTCGGTAACATCAAATGTCGCGTAATTCGTACAAAAGACAGGAACTTGACGCAGCCTGTCAACGAGAAAACATTTTATACCGCGTTCTGAAATCGCGCCGATGCCGAAAGTCAAAAATTCACAAAGATATATATGTACGATGTTTTAAAACTCGATAGAATAAACTCTGATACGTTCTTTCAGAGAACACTACAATCCACGTGCTACGAAATACGTTTTCATCGAACCGGCGTCACCCGGCGTCACGCCGTGTACCAAACTTTTGATTCAAGGTCAAAGTAAAGCGTATCAACGGGCAAAAACTTATTTATCGGCAAATAAGACACGCCAGAAATTGTAGAAATGTTTTCACTTACCGTTAGCAGCGAAATATCCTGAAGAAATTTGTCGGAATACGGATCCCAAGCACTTGCAACAACACTTCACTCGAGTATGCCGGTCACTGCGCTTGTGCGTTCAAATTCTCCAACCACGAGCGAGATACTACTGCCATCTTACGTGGCGAGAGGTCGACTAGCTTATCCACAAAGCCTGTTCTCAAAGGCGGCGGTTAATTCTTATTCGCATGAAAAGGAGTAATTAATTATTCATTTAAAAAAACAGGCGACGATTTATTTAGGAAACTTAGAATCGTAAAACTTTGTAAATTTAACACACTCATTTTTTACTTTAACGTAATTTAACCATGAAAACGTTCCTAACCTTATGTTAACGAGACTTACGCGTTACAATTTGAAATGTTGGACATTTTTATTAAGAATTATTTCCCCGATTGAAGTCATTCTTAGTACTGCTGTTACTTGTAAACTTAACGAATAAAATATTATAACATACCGTAAATTACGTGTAAAAAAAATTGATATCAAATGTAATGATTGCAGATATGTATTTGGTTGTCATAGAAAACAAAAAGGAATCGAACGAATCTCATTAGTTGAATAAGATTGAATAGATTTTAGGAAAAGCATGAATTTGAATTTATTGACTTTTTATTACTATAGTTACAACATAAAGACAATATCCATATTCTTTTTCCCATGTCCAAAGTAAAGAAATCCATAATGTGGACTATGTAATTTATGATAAAACGTCATTCCAGGCCAAAAGAGACTATGTAAAATCACTGATTGTTTGCCATGTAAAAACTGTAGATTCCAACATCCTAATAAAATATATTAAGAAGAAAAAAAATAACTTTCTAAAATTATTATTAAAATTTTTCTAATCAAGTACCTGATGGCACATCCATATCAATTGTATCTAAAAAATCTATTGCGTAATTATAATCAGGTCTCGTAAGTAAATTGGTATTCCATTTTTGTTGTGGGGAACGAGCGTGCAAATACGATTTTAAATACGAAGCATCTGTAACACTGAGTCCTTCGAAACTTAAATTTTCAATTACGTTCCCATTGGGACACTTAAACCATGCACCACGAGGAATTATGATGGCATCTTCTCTAATTATCTCTATCGTAGCTGCCAGTCTGTCTTCCTCTTTCAGTTCTTTTGGTATAGGGCCCTAACATATCAAGAATTATTGATTTTTAAACATTCTTCTCTTATTAATTTCAAAAATTAATCTTTCCAACTGTTTTTGACTTACGTCGTAATACTTTTTGGGATCTTCGTTTGGCGGGAACGGAGGATTAACATTATAAACGTTGGTGGCTATAGAAGGATCCCCTTCGAACTTATTAATTGTAAGAGGTGTCAAGAATCGTGCACATTTATTTGCTTTCGGTAGTAATAACCAATTTAAGCCATCCGTACTAATTCAGATATTCTATCTTTTTGAAATGCTCTATTAAAGAATCATTTTGATATGTTAGCTTACCTGTAGTAATATACTTGATCGTTCAAGCAATCTTTTTCAAAACCAAACGCAATATGATAATCATTTCGAACCCCATAGATTTTACCCCAATAATAACACTTTTGAAAATGATTTTCTTGTTGCAATATTATGAGAGAATTTTGTAATAGCTGTGAGTTTTCTGTTCCCACGCATATGCCAGCGTAACCAAAGATATCTAGAGTTTCTAAAAGTTTCAGACATTCCATTTCGTTTTATCGTACCGAAATCATAAATTAGTCTTAAAACATTTTAAAAACAATCGAAAAAATGAGATGATTTTCGCATCTGAAAAACTTATCGAATTTAATTTATGTATAAACAGTGTCTTCATACTCCAGTAGATGGATCCGTATAATATATGATAAGAACGTTTCACATAATCTTGTTTATTTGATCTGAAATGAAAGAAAAATGTCATCATCCGGCGAGGAAAGTGATCAATTGACGGATTTGGAAGCAATCCGTGATCGAATGTTAAGTCAACCACGAAGTGAACGTATGCAAGTTAGTGCATGGGAAGATGACGATGATGGAGTAGAGGCTGAACGTAATGCAAAAGGTTAGCTGATGATTTGGAATTGTGTATTACAATTTTTCACCATCAATTTTGTAACATGTATATATGTTTTATAGAACCTGATGCAAAAGAAATTCTGACTGCAGCGGAGAATGGCGAGCTGGATAAAGTGCAAAAATTATTAATGGAAAACCCGCTATTGTTAGAATGTACAGACAAAGATGGTTACACTCCATTGCATAGAGCATGTTATGGCAATCACGTAGCAATTGTAGAAGTATGAATATTACATTTTGAACGTAATTTATTCTTTGACAAAAGTGTTCGTAAATAAGTGCATCACTGTTTTATCTTGTTCGTAGTATTTACTTCAAGCAGGTGCAAAGATAGATGCTAAAACTATGGATGAATGGCAACCATTACATTCTGCATGTTGCTGGAATAACGTTGAATGTGCAATGGTATTAATTGCAAATGGAGCAGATATAAATGCCAGAAGTAAAGGAGATCAAACTCCTTTGCATTTAGTATCTGCAAGTTCTCATAATTCTCCTGCTTTGCAACTTCTTTTATTGCATCCAGATATAAATCCAAGATTGGTAAATTCAAGCGGAGATACAGCTGAACAGATTGCAAAAAGAACAGGGAAGTATTACCCAATGTTTGAAATTATTGAAGATTGCTTAAATGTTATTTGAATCTATTGCTTGATATGTTTATTAGATATGTTTATATACACATGTTACAATATCATGAATGAAACAAATTTATGAAATTAGAAGTTGTAAGCATATCATTAATATACTATCAGTACATTTATAAATATGTTAATAAGTCTGTATTTACTGTACTATAACAGAATATAAAAGTATAAATGTTGATATGTTATTAGATCATGAAAGTTATTGTATTGAAAACTTTAGGAATATAATACTTCAACAGTTGGATTTTTATCTACTAACTACAAATATAATGATTGTGTGATATGTTAGGAATTTGATGTGATTCTAATTACAATACAAAATTATTACGAATGTGACACTAGTGTCATAATTGTAAAAAACATCCTTTTTATTTTATAAAATATTTAATAAAATGAAAACATATGTTGAACAATATTTAACATTTACATGTTGTCTATGCACTTAAAATACATTTTAGTTTTATTTACATTAGAGTGACGTTAAATTTACAAATTTTGGAGTACCATTGCTTAAACGTTTTGATCCTTCCCATATGAGAATAGTGAAGTCTTCGGTTACAGCATATAAGTGATGTTGGTCTAAAGCCCATGCTATCGCAATTACTGCTCCGCATCCTTTTATACCATTTATAATTTCTCTGACTAATCTTAAATCCCAACTACTCCATAGCCTTATTACACCATTGTCTAATCCTGTTGCAATAACATTTACAGAAACTCCTTCTGGTGCGTTGCTATAGCAAAGAGCTGTTATTCTTCTTCTTGATAAAATAGATCCAACTGCCCTTGCATTGATAGTAAATACTTTCAATTCGGATTGACTGGTAGATGTATTTTCACTAGGAATTTCATAAGTAACTGCTATATCTCCGAGAGTTTCGCTAATCGATAGTAAACGAATAGGATAGTTCTGTTCACAGAATATGGATCTTATGTATGTTAAACTACAAAAGGATAACAAATAAGTTTAGATGTTATATGAATGTTTTTATCTATTTATTTATTAGAATACTTACCTATTTAAATCCCAGATAACAATAACACCACTCGAGTCACCTGAAACAGCGATGCTAAATGCCCGTGATAGAAACACTGTTGTTATTCTACTTCTATGAGCTAACAGTACAGATGCTGGTGTTAAAGTGAAGTCAATTTTACTTATTACAACTGCGTATGTATGCACCGTAATTTTACCAGATAAATGACCTATCCATAGTTGTCCACAATCTGGAGCTGATCCCAAGATTGTAATCTAAAAAAGATTATGTTATGTAATTTGCAATTCAAAAAAGTACTAGAAAATAGTAATGTATCTATTTACTGGGTCAAGACCCGAAGATCTAATTAATGGCCTTGGTGGTTGCTCTTTTTTATATTTTAGTCTTACAATCCCATCTGTGCCATTCCATGATACTAAAGCAGCTCCTGATACAAATGCTCCACTTAACATACTTGTGCCTAGAAAGAAACATTATACAATCTAGTTCTGCAAATGTGACTATTGAAATGTTTACATGAAATTAATGATATGTACCCTTCTCTTTTGTATAAACGAGTAATAAAGTAGTATAGCTAGGTAATCCAAAAACATCACCAGTCATTAAAGGAACTAAAGATGCTAATGGTGCTTTATGTTTATGTTTCCAACATAAAACTGGTTCATTTCCAGGAGCACCAACATAGTTTCCCCATTTTATGCCATCTACACCTTCAATAACTTGTGGTAATGAACTATGAACTATTGTATTTGCAAGATTTTGAATCAGTAAGGGATGCGCAACCGTAAATAATTGCGCTGGTGTTTGGCCATACGTTCGAACCATCGTTTCCCAAGCTTGACGTTCTAAAGGATCTGCTATTTGTTCAACATTAAATCCATAGTAGGTCTAAAAAAATAAATCCATAAATTTAAATTACACTTTTAAATATGATTGCATGAATGTTGGTATCAACATACGGCAGGATGGAAAACATTTATAGCTTCTACTGCTGGTCTACCAGTTTGCCTAAATCCGAATACCAGATCGATCCAATAAGGGAGAACTTCTCTAACAAGATCTGCTTCTAATGCTGCTCTATGAGCAAGAATAAAAAGTCGTGCATCACCTCCACACCATTTCGGTAATTCAACATCTCCAACCCGGTTACCATTTTGTCGAACTCCAAAATTAAATCCTTTAACAAAGTTTGTTTTGAATATTAATTAACTTACGTATCATTTTTTGAGCCATAATTATCTATATTACCTTCGGAATTCAACAAAAATTCAGGCAAATAGAAAAACTCAGGAATTAATTCTTTCACATCTGTTGTTGAATCGCAACTAGTTAATCTCCATGTAGTAGCCAGTGCATGAAATGTTCGATCAGGAATATCAAAATTATCGTCTTCAAAAATAGAAATAAACTGAATTATGAAAATTAAATCTCAACAGTAATGTATACATACATCTAAAAAGCAACTTTAATTTACCTTGATAGCATAGAAACATACTAGTAAATGGTGGTAATCTTACTAGAAAGTGGAGAACTGTTCCAGAATTACTATAATGCGATCCGTAATGGAATGGTTCTTGATTTAACGCTATTAAGTTTAAACCTTCCGATAAAGCTTGTTTGAGATACTATATAAAACGGTAAATAATATTATAAACAATATTCTTTTATATTTTTTTATAAACATAATTAAACCACTTACGTTGTAATTATTTATATAGTGTTGTTCATTCTTTTTATCCTGCACAGCCATAGGGCGTTTGAAATTTCTAAAAAAAAATTGTTTTTTCGTAAATATTTCCCTCATCATACTTTTACGTATTATACTTATTATACTTACCGATAAATCTTTGGATTATTTAAATCAATTTTTTCACTTGTATAATCAGCTAATACAAATGGGAATACAGGATATTGCATTAAATCATTATATGATCGACCGGCTAATTTATTTAGACAAGTAATATATTCCCAATTTGTTAATGCCCCACTTCGCCACAACGAGATAGCTTCGCTTAAATCATCACCAGGTATTCGTCTCGGTAAATTGCAAGCAGATAATTCCGTTCCAAATTCATCTCTTTCCTGTAAGTTAAAAATCATTATGAAGAATTACATAGTATTTATTTTTAAGATAAGATATATGTACCTTTGAAGAATTAAATGCTAATAAGTAAGTTCTTCCTGTAATGAGGAATATTTCAATAGCCCTTTCCTGTAACTGATATCTTCTTCGATGCAATTCTCGAATATCTTCAAGGCGCCAAGCTGTTCCACCCACCATAGCTAAATCCAAGCCACCTAAAGCTATCTGTAATTATTATGTATCCAATTAAATGTATAATAATGAATTCATAGAATAATAAAAGGATTAACAGAATCGTACATCTGTGTGCAGTAGAACATCAGGATTATCCGGAACAAAATAAAGACATGTTTCACCAATAAGAACTTCACCAGATAATTCAGCTCTAGGAGTAACTACTTTGGCTTGAGACATTTTACGTATTCTTTCACTAGTATGCAGTCGCTCGATTAATGCTGTAGCATTTGCATCTTGTCGATTATTCGTAAATAAATAAGATAAAGGGGCTTCGTTTTTTACTGCATCTGTACGCCAAAAAATGAAATCTATGTAAATACAAACAAATTGAATGAAAATAATTAATAGAATAATAGCGATCAAACCTAGCCTATCTTGATATTCGGTCATAAAAAATCTTCGATCAATGTTTAAATGACACCGCTGCAATCGTATTCTAACTCTAGCAGGACCCTCCGTAGGATCTAGTTCCCAATTTCTTGGATAACTGTTTGGAAAATGCCAAGGGGCTCTTTCATGCGTTAGACGTCTTGCTAAATCTCTCCATTTAGCAATTGCTTGAGCTTCCATCGCTCTTGAATGTTTCAGTCTTTCCATTAATACTTTACGTTCTCGATTTTGTTCTTCCACGACAGTACGCGTTATAGCCATTGCACTTTCTGTTAGTT